CCCCGCCGGAGCCGCCAGGTCGGTGCCCGGGCGGGAGCGGCGGGGTCCGCGGCCCCGGCGGACACAATGGGCTTTATCCCGCGGGGAGGTCTCGGGCGGCGTTCCGCACCCTGAGTTTCGGATTCGTGTCACACGCCGGCGAGGCCCCGACTTAACGCAAACTCTGTCTCTCTGCAGATGGATTTGAGGATATCGCCATCCGCACTGGGGATAATACCCGATGTGGCCGTTTACGCGCTTTGATTTCTTTCTCTCCGCGTCCACTCCCCTGCGCTCCATTTCAGAGCGAGCGGGGAGGCCGGCCGAGTGAAAGGCTGCTTCTCGGATCTTCTGTGGGATCTGCTCTGCCTGGTGTTGGAGGGTGGAAGCTTTGTGCCTGGGAGTCGTCCTTCCCATTTTTCTTCAGGAGTCGAGGGAGCTTCCTCTCAGACAATGATGAAAACCGAAGGCAAAGGGGAAAGGACTTTAAGAAGTGCTTCTCCGCACCGAAATGCATATAAATCCGATTTCCATGCTATCAAATGCTCGTTTGACGGCGTAAACAATCCCGAAAATGCTTCCAACAAAACAAGCTTGCATCAGAAGCTGAGCACTTCTTCTAACGGAGGGGGAAATGACCCACACAGTCGAGGCAGAGCTGCCACTTATGGCAATAGAGTACACAAGATCAAAAATATGTTTCTGCAAATGGGAGGCTCATCTTCCACACCCTCTTGTGAAAGCAGCCCACCTGCTGAGACCAAATTAATCAGCCGGGCCACAGCAGCAGAGTACGGACCTTCTCCAGGTAGCCCATCTTTCCTCATTGTCCAAAAAAATAATCTTCTGAATACAAGTACCAGCCCCTCTGTCAGTCCTGTGGATTCATTGTCTGTGCCTTCTGCTGCTGACAAGATCATCCGTAGCAATGATGAGGCAGACTTGGACAAAGTTGCCTTGGCAGAAAAATTTTCAGAGACCAGGAAGCTATTTGAGAGAAATATAAAACAACGGAGCTCAGTTGACAGATACTCCCCCAGCAAATGTGAAAGAAGTGAGGATAAGAAGAGACGCAGTTCAGCTTCTGATTGCAACAATGCGGTGGACCACTTCAGTTTTAATACAGAAGCAAGTCTTCCAGTTGCATTGGAAAAAGTTGAAAATCAAGGTAATGAGGAGTTGAAGCAGCAACATCCCAATAGTGGTTCCAAATCCTCCTTCCTGAATGCAGGGCCTATTTCTAGGAGGCTGGAAAGCTTTCTGGGTGACAGTGATACTGAAGAAGCCAAAGAAATTTCCAAAAATTACAGTGCTCTGAATCAGGACCCTTTGAGAGGCCACCGCAGTTTGGATTCATCTGCTGTTGCTGAAGGATGTCCGGAGAAGGCTGTGTCGACCAAAGTGCCTGTGATCCTCAGAGATGAGCTAACCGAGGCGTTTGGAAAAGACAAAAGAGAACAACTGGTACTTGAGAGAAGCCTGTGGGGTATGGGCAGTATGCCTGGTCAAGAGGCTCAGCTGAGATCAGACGGTGTTCTTTCCCAGGTTTCCCCCATGGAGAGGACTTGTGCAGAGCTGGTTGCACAAGATGAAACCTCAGGGCATGAAAAAGAAGGTTTGGAGAAAGATCACGTTGTTCAAGAGGATCAGCTGCTCAGATGTCAAGTACAGGAAGGGAAGAGGAACGACTCTTCCTTGGAAGTGGTAGAAGAGTTTATGAAAGGCAATGAGACTGGTCACGAAGAAGAAAGAGATGGGATGTCTGTGAGAGATGGTCCCATTACACGAGTTCAAGATGTTCTAGAGCAGGAGGGAGATATTGAAGAAGAGGAGCAAGTGGGAAGGCAGAGCAAGAACTTCAGTGCTTTTGGAATAGAGAATGCAGCTTTTGATGATGATAGGGATACGGAGCCAGAAAACCAAGCGCCTGAAGGCAAAGAAATTTTGGAGGGAGAGGAGGAGGAGGAGGGGGAGGAGGAGTATATGTATGACAGTGAATATGAGGAGTTTCCTGGACTTTCTGAAGAGGAAGATCCTGAGCCAGACCGAAAAGTCAAGTTCTCAACAGCTCCTATCAAGGTAAGTGTATTTGAATTTTTTTAAATTGTTTTGTATCAAAAATACCCAGGAAATACATTTTCGTGGTGTTTTTTTTTTTTTTTCAAAGCTTCAAAAAGTGTAAGTTTATGGCTTTTATTCAAATCTGAATATGAGAGAAGTTACAACTTCTCAGTAATTGTATAATTCACAAGTGATTTCTGAATCAGCAGCTTCATCAGATAGCATAGTGCAACATGTGAGATTTTACATACTGGACAGATTCAGGAACATGAAACTTTTAGGAAGAAGTACAAACACATGACCTTTAGTACTTGTCTCCATTTGTTTAAAATTGAGGCATTGCATTAGGAAGGATTTTTTCAGATTTAGTTTCTGTACAAAAATTTAGAAAACCCTAAACAAAACAACAAAAACCCCTAAACAAAACAACAAACCTCCTGTAGCAAACCTTCAGATTCAACTTCAGACTTGTTTTCAAAATTAACTGAGAAAATACCGAATGACTGGTTCCTGTTATTTAAGACTTTAGAATTATGTCTAATAATAACCATATATATATATGTTAGGGGTTTTTTTTATACTGTCTTGGTGAACAAGCTGTAGGGGTGTTAACATGAGCATTTTGGAGTTCGGAAGTTGCAGAAGTAGAAGTTACAGGGCAGACTGGATAATGAGAAGTACTGTAAGTTACAATGCTAACAAAAAGATTTAGGTGTCTCATCTTCCCTCACCAAAAATAGCCACAAAATAAGTCATTCCAGAAATCAAACCATGTTTACCCATAGTCTCATAGACTTCAATTATTCTAGTCCCTCTTAAAGTTTGGGAGGTAAATTGGGAGATGTAGACCAGGATGGAATGGGAAACTGTCCAGGCCTTTGCAAGCACAATTCCCTTCAGCTATTACATGAATGAAATATACTGTCTTTAATAAACAATTTTTACACTTTGTTCATACAGAGTCAGGATTCGCTTTTACTGATAAGAAGGATGTGTTGACTTCTGTACTTCCTGCACTGCAGAGCTGTAATTTCCCAGTTTGCTGAACAGACACCTTTGCTGTACCCCAGAAAATTTTTTGGCTGTGGCAAAATACGAGTGGTGTTGCATGTGTTTTTTCTTGTAGTCATAGACAGGCTGACTTTATATGGCTTTCTTATATTTGATGCTGCTTTAGTGGTGACCTGGAGCACTGGAGGGGGAAGTGCCACTATTGAAAACTGCATAATGGGTCTGGTGAAGTCTGTGTGAGAGCCGGAGGGGCATCAGTCCATTTCCCCTCACTTTTGTGTGCTGAATATCTGAGGAGAGTGCCGTGTAGTCTGCTATAAGTGTGTGCTCATTGAGTTTCCTGCTGTAGGCAGGGTTTTACTGATCATTGATTAAATCCTACTGAAGCACTGCCTGTAAGAGACTTTTCCTGCATTCCCTGTTATGTCTATGCCAGACTTAGTTGAAAGCATTAGTGAAAATCTCTGTGCCAACTGTGATGGAAGCTCTCGTGTAGACAAAACTCAAGTTTTTGGTAACTACCACTGTTCAATTACAGCTGCTTCTCTGAAAGCCACAGTACCAACCTGTACCATATTATCAATTACACAGTGGAGAGATGAATGGTTAGTAGCAACTGTTAGCAGTTTTCCATTAAAAATAACATAGTTCTTGCCACAATACCCCACTTGGATTGACAGAATGAACTGTACTTAATAGCAATATGGTCACTGAACTTTATTTTTAAGGCCCTAAAATTAAAGCTTGTGATACTTGCCTTCCTTTATCCCTTTTTGGTGAAACTTGTCTATATCTTTCCTATAATGAGTATAGGGATCTCTTTCTGTATGTCATTTTCAACAGCTTTTTTCCCCCTGTTCCTCATGCCTATGATTTCTTTCCCCTTGTCTGCCTTTTTGTTTCATATTTTCTGTGATGCTTAGTGGGAACGAATCCTCGTATATGGTTTTTGGCTTTTGTTCTCTGTAAAATAAAGAATTTCAAATTTTTTGCACTTCCCCAAAATCTTTGTTAGTAATGTACCTTTAATATCTCATGAACTTGATAGAAAATCCCACTTTTACCTCACAGAAGGAAATCTCTTTTGTTTGACTTTATGCGTAGATTTTAGTGCATCTTAAATTGGAAGAAAAAAAAAATCCTGAGTGGTAGCAAAAATTATTCTTGGGCCCTGCCACAGCTTAGACAAGTGCCATAGTGAGAAATGTATCCTAGTAGCTTCTTTTTTTCAGCTTTATTTAGACTGGTAAGTTTGACTGAAATGTGAGTGCCATTCCAGATATCCATAGCCACTGGAGGAGAAGGTCGGTGTTTCTGCTTCTCTTAAGATGCTCCTGAGAGAGGCCAGGCTGGCCTTGGCATTCTTACTGTTTTCCTTCTGCATCTCTCTAGTGATTATGGAAAAAACATCTCTGCCTTTTGCACTCGTGTTTAGCAGGTGTCTGATAGAGTCGGAGAATTCAAAACATTCAGAAGGTGTTTGGGCAAGAAAAATCACGTTCTCAGATCATCAAGACCCTGCAGTGATGGAGCTCTGACCATTGTACTTGATATACCCAAAAGGGAATTTGGATATGTGTGTAGGTAATGGATATAACTTACACACAGGCACCCTAAAACCAGTATTTATGCTGCAGTGCAAAGAGAACTTATTAATATCTCTGTGCTGAAGTTTCTAGTAAGTTGTACAATTGGCAAGGCTTTTGAGTAAAAGAAGGAGACTGTGAAGCTCCCAGGGGATGTATAAGGTAGCTAATACTGTTAACACTGCATCTGACCCATGCTAGAGATCTGTAGTTGTTGACATCTGTAGCAGGGCTTAAGAACATAATATGATCAGATTGTTTCAGGAAAGATGGAACATAATTATGCAAATACTCCGTTATTTTGTGTCGCCCTGTGCCTGTGAAAATAAGCATAGATGAGACTTTTTAAAATAAATGTTTCAATTTTGTAGAAACTGGTGATAAATAATGTGTGGGAAGGTTTCTTATTTGCTGTGGGTGACCTGACTCTTAAGTCCTGCAGCTGTTTGATCTCTGCAGACTTTAAGAAGAATTATGTCTTGGTTGCTTGTTTTTCCTGCAGTAGTTGAGAGTGATACTGTACAGTTATTAGCAGAACTTCACAGACTGGGTTTGTGTTATGGTACATGATCTATTTTTAGTCTCGTTTCCACATATGAAGCCAGTAAGGAATGTAAAGCACACTCAGCTGTCCAAGGTATTTTCAAGGGAACTGAATTTGTCTTTGTCTTGAAGTTTTCTGAACAAACTGTGTAAACAATCAGCATTTCAGACAGTGCAAATAACATCAGGTAGCTGTGCTGTCATCCCTTTATATTTCACTTTGCTTTTGTGATGTAGAGATTAAACTCACATTCAATTACACGGTTACCTTGAAAGGCTTTAATTAACATAAATGTGATGACTGAGTGCTGTTTGACATCTGTAATTTTGAAACTTTCCATTGGGAAAACAAATGCCTGTTTCCAAATTGACTTCTTGAGATGTTTTTACCTCTGACTGTGTCAAACTTTGTCCTCGAAACCTTTAACAGCACTATGACTAATTTCTGCAATGATTTATGATCCTTAGAAATTCTGTAGCTCAGGTAAACTGAAAAGATAGTACAGCTGCTATTTGCTTCCGTAGGTCTGTTTCATTAGCAGTGTTACCCAGTTTACATTGCATGAGACTGTCCCCAGCTTTTTGTGAATAATACTTTCTTTTAAGATTAAGTCAAGAACACAGTTTAAAAAAACAAAACCAAAAAACAAACCACCAAACCTTCTTAAAAGCTTTACTTTTATATTTGCCACAGTTGAGCAGAAGTTTAAACTTTTCTTAAGTAAGGAAACTGAAAGCATTTTCATAGCTTGTTGTGTTGTCCTAACCAGCAAAGCATCAGTTGCTTCTGGGAGAAAATATGAAAATCCTTCATAATATTGCCATTTGTCTTGTGTATTGGAATAGAGCTGTTTTATCTATAGCTGAGACACAAACTAATTTTCTTCAGGCTGGCGTGCTCTTCAACCTTTTTAGTACAGGACTAGTTACTGTGGAAGTTAATGAAGCAGTAAATGAAGATACGCCTGAATCTGATTTCCTGTATAACAGAATATCTGTAAATGCTTACCACTTCTAGGGGATGCACTTTTTTCTAGGTCAGTGTGTAGTCTCCTGAACACAGTTTTAACAGTGTTTCAGAGTAGTGGTAGAGCTTCATACATCCTGTGATTTTTGGACTGTATCTTCTTATACTTACAACGTCATACACAGAAAGGGTTACAAAATATGCTAACTGGTAGAAGATACCCAAACCCTGGAGTTTCCTCAGTAATTAAGAAAATTGTTTGTCAGCCATTGGTCAAGCACTTCAGTAAAACACTTCTGTGGCATTAAGAAACAAGTATGTGATATGGATGTAGGTTGATCTAGGAAAATGGAGATTTGATCTGACAGTAGATTTAAATAGAATTGAGTTTTATGTGGGAATTCATCTGCCTTTTTTCTCAACATAAATAAGTGTATTTTCATCATGCTTTGTTTGGGATCTTTTGCAATGACAATTTGTTGTAACTCATAGATTTTAATTTTTAATTGTTCTGAAGCTCTGTTTATCACTTGCATCAACATTACAACATTTGTAACTTAACATCCTAACAATTTTTCTTCATATTTTTATCTCAAACTTAAACTCTCCACAGTACTTTTCAGTGACTTTTCACAAAAAGTAACCCTGTTGTCTTCTGCCTGCATCCGAGAGTATGGCATTTCTTGCTGGTTAACTTAACATCATGAGATGTTAAAAACATGAATAATAACTTGAGGAAAAAGATACATTTGGTGGTTTTTTTTTAAGGAAAGTTAATCTTTAAACTCTTACAGAAATTTCAATTTTCATAAAAATTAAACGTTTACCTGGTTTCAGAAAGTTCCATATCCAGTATTTGTCATGCCTTTCTTCTGGTCCTTGTTATATTTTGATTCCGTGACCTTTGTTCA